TGTTCATCTGCATTTGGCCAACTGCATGCTTTTTTTTATGGAAACCTGTTGTCAGAGTATAATGGTTTTGGGAAAAAAACCAAGCAACAGAACAAAACCATCGCTATATGGTCAGGTGAGCCGAGGATACATTTTCTTGCACTGCTGTGATCCCAATGGCATTGAGATCATTCTGGTTAGGTGTAAATGTATTGGAGGTATCATCCCATAAGGCTCAGCTGAAATTGGGGTACGTGTTCAGAAGGAGCTGCATCACTCCCATCCCAGACTGCATTCTCCTCATCTTAGCTGCCTTAGTGACTGAGCTGGTAGCAGAGCTGCTGCTTCTTACCTTGAATCATGATATACTTTAGTACGTGTGTCTCCTTTCTCTATGCTAGATGTCATTTTTTGTGGGAGTCTGGATAAATATTTCAGTCTGTAGGAGTTCAAGAGAACTAGGTATCACCTAGCAACAAGCATCCCACTCTCTGCCTTCCTGCTTCTCTTTTGTTAAAATATCTGTGAAAACCAGAAGTTGAAGCATTAAGTTAATTTTCTGAACTATTTTGAGCAACAAGGTATTTTTGTTATGATGTTACTGCAGAGCAACAAAGATGTTGTTGAGGGCTGACCTCTTGAAGCAAGTAACTGCCTTGTTTGAACAGTAATCACAAATACTAGCAAAAACTTTAGCTGCGGACAGAATAACCCTTATGATTGCAGTTGTTTAGTAAATAGCAGAATGCATAGCAAGTGATCCTTTGGTCCTGTGAGGTCTATAAAATATGTAGCAGTTACATTTAACCTAACCTGAATGTGTTTTAGGCTGTATTACCTGGTTCATCTTGCAGCTTGTGATGGCTGCTGGTGGGACGGTGCCTTATGTTGGAATTTAAAATTTTTAAACTTTTTTTACAGACAACTTTGTGGCAAAGTGCGTCGGCTAGTTTCAGTTACAGTAGTACATGGCAGTCAGTTTTCAAAGATCCTGGGGACTAGACCCAGGTCTGGAAAGGTAGGCAGTTGAAGTACAGTTTGGGATGTGCTAATTCAGTGCAGGGCTGCACTGAATTTCACCATCTTCTGTACCTTATCAATTTTAAATGTCAAGGACTGTTGTGGATCTGTAGCTAGTGGTTCACGCATATTTTATTTGTAGCTTCTGCAGAATGTCTGCTCTATAGAGTTTATGAATTTCCTTGCAAGAATCAGGAACTTAGGGAAAAGGACAAGTATGTATCTACTATTATTATAAATAAGGTAGCTATCCTCAACACTGGGTTGAGGATAACCTGTGTTCCTTTGTCTCGGAATGGTGCTGAAGCTGTGCTTTCAGTGATCCTGCCTTACCTGCTGGTCAGGGTGGTCTTTGTGAGTTAGGGAGAAGTCATTCTCTGTCTTCAGGAAAGTTTGGTGTGACTCAGGGCCTTTGAGAGGGATTGCAGAAGTCAAAATGCAGGTTTAAGGGCTTTCAAGGAGAAAAGTGCATACTTTAAAATGAATAATGTAAGAAGGTGACTAAGAAACATGGTTATGCTCAAATAAGGGGTTTGTTTTGTAGAGGTAAAAGTTAATAAATCCTGATTCAGCAAATGACTTCAACTTTGCAAATGAGTTGGTCTTTTCCAAATGTATGTTCTCATATCTATCTGAACTAGAAAAGGGTAAAAATAGCATAAGGAGTAATTTGTAACTGTATTAACATGAATTTACTTTAAAATTATCGGTATGTAAAAGAGAAGTGAAAGTGATACCGGTGTGGACTTGTTTTTTAAATGAATTAATACAGGTTTATATGTTGAAAAATGTTCTATTTGTAGAGATATGGGTAACTACCCACATAGGGGCCTCTATTTTTCTAGAAATATGCTCAGCATGACTGTCTCAAAACTCTTCATATATGCCTTGCTCTGGTCCATGAGTCTTGCTCAGGTCTGCCAGTGGATGGGCATGCTGGTCAGGGTGGGACTCACAGGACATTTAGTCTGATCAAGACAGGTTTTCAAAATGGACTAGGTGTTGAAATTTATTTGGTTTTCTCTTGCTGTAGGAGAAGGAGTCTAATGTTTGGTGTCATTCATAAGCTTTATAAACTCCTGGGGTCTGAAAACACTATTTTAAGGTAATGGTTAGTCTTTAGCTGGCAGTGGACATAATTCTGTATTTGGTACTTAGATTTCATTCTTTGGTTGAAACTGGTTATTTGTTAGACACTTTGTTCAGTGATAACTTAAAGACCCTTTTTGACCTAAAGATTTTAAATCAGCAATATTGTGTAGTTGTCTCATTGGGTAGATTTTCTTCTAGTATAAAACCTGCTTGATGCAAAGGGAAGGTGCTTGTACTTTCAATGTCTGCTTTCATATTTCTGATAGTAGAAACTGAGTTTTCACAGTAACATATTGAAAACCAAAGTCCAAAGCAGGTTTCATGGTGGTGACACACGTGACAGAATGGATGCACTAGATCTGTAAGGATGGATGGTCCTGTTTTTCATATGCATTTCAAAGTCCTTTCATCTGAAGTTGAAGCTTTTCCCCACTCTTCTGAAAATCAGGCCAAAGATGTGCAAAATTACTAGTTAAACATAATTTTCAGATGAACGGTTTACTCTTAATCTTAGGCTCTTCTAGCCTGACAGCCCTTCTGGAGAGGTGAACACCCCAATGGTGCAAGGATTTTGGAAATTCAGTGCTTGTTAATCTATGCAGACCTGAAGAGAGGAAATAAGAAAACCCATTTACTTGTCATTGCTAACGAAGTAGCTTTACCATGAGGAGGTGTGTTGGACGCAATTTAATAATTCAAAACCAGCTGCAGCTGTGGCTGGTTGGATAGTGGTTTGTTAGCAGTTCTGAAACACACACCCATGTTTGCTGTGTCACCATAGCCACTGTAACATAATAGGACTCCGGCATTGGTGTGTAACTGAAGCTAAGTTGTGTGGTAGGACCATGTGTGTCTGTGTGCATGGAGAGAGGAGTAATGATGAGAAAACCTGGAGAACTGGAAACAATTACAGGTCAAACTCTGTCTTCCTCTCACAGAGACTCCATGAAGCTTTTGGATACATTACATTTAATTTAAAAAACCCTTGATGACTAAATAATTTCCTGTTCGGGTTAGTTGACCACATCATAAAAGTCAAGGATGTGGAAAATCTGGTCCAGTTGTCCCATTTTTGGACATGAGCACATAGAAAAGAGCAACTAGAAACTCAAAGGTTGTTCTTTAATTAAAAACAAATCAAAAGAAAAAAACCCTGATAATAATGAAGATCTATTTCATGAAATGAAAATTTTGAAGCAATCCAAGTAATGCCAAGGGAGATGAAATAACAAAAGGGAAAGACAGTCTACAAGATGCGTGAGAGACAGGGCAAATGGTCTACATCAGTTAGCATGCTCTCAGCCTCTACATTATTTAGTTAAATTTAGTTTGGTCAGTGTTCGTGGTGATTTTGCAGCCTTTTATGATTCACACAAATATTTGGAACTTACTTTTTTCTATTAAATGTAATATTTTCTTGGAAATAAAATTTAAGTGTGTGGTGTTTAGTTAGTATGATAGTAGCACGGTATATGAGTGGACTATTTTTATGATCTTATGAAAGCTTCTTGTCTTGTTTTCAGTGTTAAAGTTTGTGTAGTGTTTGGAAACCTGTCATGTTGTCATATATACAACAGTAATGAAATACTGGAATGTGGTTTAAAATCAGGCAGGTGATGCTCTACTGCTATTTGAAGGATGACCTTATTTTGAATGATATAAAAATAACAGCAGATTGTTTATAATAACTCTGACAGCAGATTTAGGTTCTTGACTTCACACCATTTCCATTATTAAAAGAGGCATATGTAAGTAGCATTTGCTTCCAGATACATGCACATATTCTGGTAAGAGGTTTAAGGGCATACTATTATTTAAATTTTTGACATCTGAAGCTCTCACCCCCCCCAAGGCTTTTTAAAAAATTTGGACCAATGGATGTGTATATTTTCTTAAACCTGAAGGAGCCTCCTAAAACTATAATATAGTATTTAAATCTCTATGTGCTTTTTCTTTTATAGATTAATATAAAATCATAGAATGGTTTGAGTTGGAAGGTACCTTTAATATCATTTAGTTCCAACCTCCCTGCTATGGACAGGGATACCACCTACTAGGTCAGGTTGCTCAAATCCCCATCCAACCTGGCCTTGAACACTTCCAGGGAAGGGGCATCCACAATTTTTCTGGGCAACCTGTTCCAGTGCCTCACCACCCTCCGAGTAAAGAATTTCTTCCTAACATCTAATCTAAATCTCTCCTTGTTTAGTTTGAAACCTTGTCCTATGCTGTGTGCACTTGTGAAAAGTCCCTTTCCAGCTTTCTTGTACCCCCCTTTAGGTACTGGAAGACTGCTATAAGGTCTCCCTAGAGCCTTCTCTTCTCCAGGTTGAACAACCCCAGCTCTCTCAGCCTGTCTTCACAGGAGAAGTGCTCCAACCCTCTGTTTTTGTGGCCCTCATAACTAAACTAATCATGTATCTATATGAAACATTTAAAGAAATACATATTCAAATTTCGTAATGGTCTTGGACTTCGTCTTATTGTTCAGATCTTGCGTAGTATTTCTGGGAAATACAGTTTGAAATACTAGCAGTGTTTGCACTCAGTAACTGATGGAGAATTTACCTTTACAAATGCAGGATACTAATATATAGTGGGCTCTGAAGACTAATTAAAACAGTTGGATTTAGCACGCTCAAGTAGCAGCGTGGAATTTAAAGACACTGAGAGCTTTGACTAAAATCATGAGCTAAGAGAAAACATAAGGCTTTCTCCAGTATACTTTTTTTTTGGTCATATTTGTTTAAAGTGCTTATAAACTTACAATTCTTCTGACCTCTGTTTTACTGTGGAACAGATGTCTGTGGTTAGATTTTTTTTTTATTTACATATACAATAATATTTGAGAAATAAATGAACTTCTAAGAAAATACATCTGTTAAATTATTTAATATTTTCTTTTTTAGGATTGAAGTGGATCTTGGGACAAATGGATGACTGAATATTCATATGAAGAGGAAAGCCATAAAAGTTGGTTGACATTTTTGCAACCATATGCATTATACGTATTAATGCTATCATCAAAATTTTATATTGTATTATAAAACAATAGATTAAATAAATAGTCTGAACTTCATATGCTGTATTGTCTTTCAGACAGGAGAATACTAGAGCTTAACAACTGTATCTTAATGCAGTGTTTTCTGTCAATACCTGAATGTTCAGAGGAAAACCCAGTAGTGCGTTAAGGAAATAGGTAATTCCTTTGAGGCCAAGTGTTTGGATGGGCTGATACATAGTAGTGTTCATTATTATGTGCCAGGATGAAGGGAGAATGAGAGAGGCATTGTCTTCCATTAGAGCTACTGACTACGAAGCTTAATATGTTGTGGAGTGGCACTCAGTTGCCACATTGAGAGATACTCTTTAAGAAGGCAAACAGGATATGATCTCTTTGAAAGCATCTTGGTGCTTTGTTTTCTTGTGATAGAGAGAAGGCTGTTGTACAGTATGCATTTTCTGCACTAGTTAAAAAGGAAGAAGCTGTTAGTGGACCTCCATGCTTTACTGACTTTCAGCTTTTAAGTTGATAAAATACGCTAAGCCTTGACATCTGCCAATTTGAGTTGTTGGTGACTGTGAAGGATAGACTTTGGCTGGGATGCTACATTAGCCAATTCCTGCCAAGGCTGTTTAAACACAACTGATGGTGCCTGTGGGTTTGCACTGGAGCAAATGAGTTGTAATGACAAATGTAGGGTGTGGTACAGAGGGATGCAGGTCATGGTCCAGCAGGATGCTGCACAGCAGCTTGGTTAAATAAGGCCTTATGGAAACTCTACTACTCAAGGAGGGATATGTTGTTGTGGAAAACCTATTTCCTAGAAAGCTTCTGTCGACCCCTGGATCCCAGTCAGGGGTAGAAACAATCAAAAAAACACCAAAAACTCCAGATTTTTTTTTTTTTTCCAAAATCAGAGGATTAGTTCAGTACAGGAAATGTAAGTCTGTAGTTCTGTTAATTTAGCAAAGTAGTTCAGGAGGACAGATTCTTATTTATCTTAGTGATAATCTGGTTTTATCAGTCTTTTAGTGGTTCAGAAGTTTTACAGTTTATGAACAACTGACTTGGATACAGAAGAGTTTAATTCCTTCTTTGGTAAACTTCTTTAGTGTTCACCACAGGTAGTAGGCATGCTGATTCCAGTGACCTCCAAATTCACAAGCAGCATGAGACTTGATGGAATCGTCTGTGTCCTCGAATCCAGTCTCCTGAAATAACAGCCAGTGAAACAATCTTTAGTTCAGAAGCATCCATAGAACATCTGCTTTATAGACTGCAGGTCCCAGAAAACACCTAGCCTCTCAGAGCCAAATTTAAACCCTAATAGAGACAAAGTGGTATTAGTAGCTGTGCAGTAATGTTTTTTCTGTAGGGTCAGGGGTCCAAATGGCCACATATGAGCCAGCAGTTGTTGCCTGCTAAAATCAGCGCACAAAATCTTGAGGAATTTCTCTTTGGTTAGATTGCTGACGTGTCAGCGGCTGCTGTCCATACTGATGTCTAATAGCTTGAGGTGGGCTTGCATCGTGACAGAGCAAGATCTCTGCACATGAATAGCAGAGTGAAAAACTGATACCACCCAAACCTTACATCTTCTAGAAATGCAGTCATAAAATCCTATATGTACAAACTCAGGGAGGCACTTCACTGGCAGAAAGTGCGAGAGGATGAAAAATACCAAACTAATTATCTGTAAGCTATCTCTGGACATCATTATGTTACAGTGGACAACTCATGCTGTCCAGAAGACAGCACAGAGCAGTACTACCATAGCATTGTAATATTTTGCATTGAATTGAAAAGAAACTGGGCCAGACTATGTCTTAGGTATTTGGTTTGGGAAGTGACACCAGGGCAGAAAAAGTTAAGGGTTTGTCAGATTCTTGAGGGGCTTTTGTACCCAGAGTCTATGCAGAGGAAGAAGGGCTTCCAGATAAGGCAAAAGTAAAAATCTCTTGGACTCGTGACCTTTCTGCAAATTCCTTGGGAAAGAGTGTAATTGCATGAGATGTATCGCTGTTAGCTCTGTGTCTCTGTTCCGCTCTCTGCTTTTACTTTCCTGGTTCAACATAGAGTGATAGTATCAAGGAAGGAGGAATGGGAGAACAGGATGACCTCTTCCTTGTGAAGCCGTAGTTTCACTCTCTCGTGCCCTTCTGATGACATCCCACAATAATCATGGGGAAGCTGCTCAAAATATGTGCAGATAAGGAAAAGGGTACTGAGTTACTTCTTTACATTTTTTCTGTTTGCAGTATTTGCAAATGCAGGGCTCTGAATACAGCTGTTAATCTTCTATATTAGGAAAGTACCATAATTAAATCATATCACCAGATCAGAAGAAAAATGTGGTTATATGGAGGCATTCAAAGTCTGAGGCTAAAAATTCCTTTTCTGGGAAGAATGATTACAGAAAGCTTAAGCAATAGAGGTGGAGAGGGCTTCTCTGTGATCACTGTTAAGATCAGTTGATAAAGTTCTTGCTCCAATAGGAAAGAGATTGGATTTTGGCCGGCACCCTGCCTCGGCCTTTCACTTTATTGCTGCTTTACTAACCAAGTTCTGAAAGCTTTCCATTGCTAACATGAATATGTTGGTGTGTCATTGGGAGTGTAAACAACTTGGTTTGCATTGTCTGTGTGTTATAGTGGTAAAATTTAGGTCTGCCTTGGACCTTATCGTAATATATGTAAATGTGGTGTTGTATAAATATGATATCTAAGTGTATATGCAACTAATGAAGGAAATATGAACATATTTTTTTTCTGTCCCATAAAATGAGGTTAGATGAAAAATGAGAAATATGCAAAAATAAACCTGAAAGCATACATGTGTACTGAATGTACGCAGCTTATGATGCTTCTGTGTATTCCATAATACTGACAATTGCATTCAGAGGTTCATTTCTTTATTGAATCTGATATTTAAAGTCTGTTCTTCAGGCTACAGTGATTGCATTGGGTGTATGGAGATGAGACCTGGGTAGGAGCTGGTAAGGAAATGGGTAACTGACAGAGAACTATAGCCCAAAGGTTCTGGGCAAAATAAACATCAAGACATCAATCCAGAACCAAGTAAACAGGACTGAAAGGAGTCAGAGAGCAAAATTGAAGGGGGAAAAAAGCTTGTTCCGATTGGAAAAGCACATCTGGTTTGTACTTAGCAAGTGGCCTTGGGTGCAGTCACACCACTCATGCTGTGGCTTCATGAACAGCTTTTAGAAATAACACTGGACAGTTCATTTGATCAGGCTTAATGATGTTCTAAGTGATTGAATGCTGAAAAAATTATAAACAACACTGAATTCAATGGTGTTAGGAGATGCGTGCTAATTTTGTATGTGATAAGGCTGAGAAGTATTTGCTGTGTCACAAATGTTGCAACCTGTATGTCATCTCTTTAAAAGAAAACCACCAACCAACAGCCAACTTTAGCTCAGCTGTTTAGAGGGAGGGACTCTATACAAAGGCGTGTTTCTTGATCTCTCCAGAGCTCACCCTGTCTCAGCAGTCTCCCATCCTCTAATGTACCCTTGCTTCACCTTCTGTCTCCTGTGTGGAGCTGGACATGGAGGGATGCAGGACCCCTGCGCTGCTGGTTGCGTGCCTGGTGCTGCAGGATGGTGACCATCTGGCATCGTGAGGGCAAGCCTGCTGTTCAGGGTGGCCTCTTCAGGCTGGAGAAATGGGCTAGCAGGGCCCTCCCCAAGTTCAGCAAAGGGGGAAGAGTCCTGCACCTGGGGAGGAACAACCCCATGCTCCACTGCAGGCTGGGCAAGCCCCTGGATCCTCCGATGAGAGGAAGAGCTACCCTGGTTTTCTGTGGAATTTGGATTCATTGGACTTTCAGCCTTTACTTTTTCATGATTTTAAAATCTGGTCATTATAAAAATGACTTTTTTTTAATGTATTTGAAAGTGTTTCAAGGAAGTTTTATGTCTTTATTTGCATAGGCAGAATACTGGTAACAGTATGGTTACATGTTTGGTTTTTCTTGTCAATTTTCCCCTCTGTATTACAAACAAATGCAGTTTTTCTTGAAAAAAAGTGGCTGCTCTTACGTAGTCTTTCATGTCTGGCATTATTCAGTGGATTCTTGGAATATAATTATGACTAGAAACATCAACATGATAAAATATATTAATCACAAGGGAATTATTTTGCACAGACCATCAATCTGTTTTTCTGTCATGTGCTTTTCAGTTTAGATTACTCTCAGGCAAAGAGATTGTAGTTTAATGTTTTTTCTCAATTCATTATGATTATAAATTTTTTGGATAAAACAATGTAACAAATGACCACTTAAAAATGACTGGCCCCATTCAGCAAGGCGGGGAGGACTGTGAAGTTCTTTTGGTTTCATCTCTTATCCAGCATTTATCAAAATGGGTCCCTTAACAGTCAATTGGTGGTTGATTTTTAATGAGTATTTCACAATGTAAATAGATAGCAGTCAGTTTGTTATCTGGAGCTTAGTCATATTCATAGGACAGATCTGCTTTTACTTGCTGTCACAGAAAAATGTAAAGTTACACTGAAACTGTAGAGTGGGAGGAAAGCTTTTCCTCAAACCTTATATTCAGGAAAGGGAGGAACAGCAGAGGTTTTCTTTCTTTTTCTGTTTCTTACATCAGCTGCCACATACTGTGCTGTCTCTTGCTCCCATTGGGAGCAAGTCTTTTTCCATTGGGTGCTGGAGGGCTGTGCACTGTTAGCCCCCAGGTTTGGTCACTGTCAGCTCAGCCCTGCTGCGAGCAGGTTGGGGTGAATTTGGAACTGATCCCCAGTTCCCTGAAAAATTGCTGGGGTTATTTCCAACACTGATATTTTCCAAAGAGAAAAAGGCATTTAAGATACCTGCCACAAACCACTTCAGCTTGATATGTTTGCATATAAGCTTGTTCCTGTTCCCTTTGCCTTTGTAGAGTTATGGAATGATTTCTGGAAAGACCTTGGCGTTCCTTTTA